CCGTTATCAAAATCATTTGTTTTTGCCCTCCCACCACCATGAAGTTCCATGTACATGTTCATTTTCCTCAGTGAAATTTTGCTTCGCCATAAAGACAAAGTGAATTACAGTAAAGCTTTGCACATTCCATTCTGTTACTTTTGTCTCCATCTCTTGCTGTGCCTTGATACATTTCTACAGCTTGATTGTTGATGTTAACTTACATACCTAGTGTTACAACAAAAATGCACATACAAGTACATTAAGCGTCATTGTATGAAAAGGTTCTATTCTCAACAACCAGGGGTTTTCGCATCTGACATTTCGGTGACCATTGACTTTCTAACTGGTTCCGATTTCCACCAGGTTGTTGAATAAAGAACCTTTTTAAAATGTCTCTTGCCAACCTGATAAAATTATTGGATTAGATATCATTCTGTGAAAGGTGTCATTGAAGTATGATTGTTGTATTACTATTATTTATGTATGAATATTTATGTTTGATCTACAGATAGGCCATTTCAGCAGCAAGTGCCAAAACAGGACAGCCAGTATTTCAAGGTTTAAAATTCCTTTATTATATGTATATTTGTCCTGTTAATATGTTTCATCACACCTTGGTGAAATATTTTTGGAAACTTATATCATAAATGTCTTTTGATTTAGAAAACACAATGCGATGCAGATTAAATCAAACTGATATGAATACCACAATTTTATTTATATTCCTGCAATATGCTGCATTGTGTTACTGTTGTCATCTCAACACTGCCCAGTTTACATAACCAAAACGTTTTGTGTTAGAACTTCAAAAGACCCTATTTACATTTTACAGGTATAAACATAACAATACGTTGACATTGTTGCTGTGATATGTTTACATGTCTGTAGTAAAATAAATAAACATTGACATTTTCAGTTCGCCATCTAAAATTGTCCTGAATTTGTTACCGAGCATAGTTAAGTATTGCTCATTACTTCTCTCAGGCTTTTCCCACAAAAAAATTGTATTTGCTTATGTTGTTTATTCCAGCACGTGTATCAATTTTTCAGAGTTTCCATATTTTGCTGCAGAAAAGAAGATTTAAATTTGGAGGTACTAGTAGTTTGGTGAACTTGTGAGAAATTTTGAATTTTTCTCACCTGGCTCAAATCATTTCCGGCGAAAGTCAAACTGGCTGCACCTGACTGTGATTTACTAGTAGTGCCCTTCAAGCGCCGACTAGTGATGGGTAATGGTACTTCAGCTACTGATAACCATCACAAATCACCGCGATTTTACACATCCCATGAGACATTGCGTTCCCAATGCCTGTCCTAACCAACCAGAGAGCCAGAACATGAGGACTAGACCATTTAAGATCTTTGGGGTACCGAGGGATTTCCATACAGAATGCACTTACTATCTACACGTCTATAGATTGCAAGAGCGTGTGATATCCATGTATGCAGTTCACTGTTATCTACACCTGATACCATAAAAGGCTGGCACTACAGACCAGAAAGATTTGCTACAATTTTTATTAGTGCTCCCCACCACCCCGAAAAAAGTACTGAAGTCCATCGATGCTTCGCATCTGAACAGTTGTATTGCGCTTGACCACCTGTTGGATTGCGACATTTCCTTATTTCCTCCTACAAACCAAAGTTTGTACAGTCGGCGTCGTGGAAATGTCTTCGGAGAAACTTGTCATGGACCAAGGTGAGTTGTCAAAGAAGACCATTTTCTATGCCAAATCTTCTTACCCGTTTCGCTACGTCATAAAATAGCAACTTTTTTTCGGCAATGTCTTACTTTCGTCTGATACTGGTTGTGTTGTACAGTGCTGAAAAGAGAAACTTCACCGCGCTTTTCTTTATTTCTCTTCAGGTTCCGTCCCTTCCCTGGCTGGTGTGGGCCTGACAAGGCCGTACAAGAGGCAGGGCGGGCGGCGGACGGGACTGGTGCTCCTGGCGGGAGGCTGTCTGGGCGGGGTGCTGGTGTGCGCCGTCCTCATGCCGCTGGTCTACGTCACCATGTCAGACCTGCAGCTGGAAATCACCGAGCTCAAGAAACTCGTGGTAAGAAAGATATAAAATTATGGATTAGTTTGTTCATAATAATTCAGAGGGAAAAGGCATTAGTTTGAAGAGTTAAACTTTATCTAAAACGCTAGCTACAACTTTGCTTACCACAAGTGCGCAGCAACTTTCCAGGTATTTCCGTAAGTTCCCCAAGTATAAAGGGCCAACCTTTCTCATGTTCATTGTGTCAACATTACCGAGCAGTCGTGTTATCGACACCACTGATGGTCACGTCTCTACATTCCGAATAGGCCCTATACTCTACAGCAGAATTTACATACCGGTACTCAAAACCGGACTAAATTTTTATGATTATTTTTTAGACAAGAACAGAGGACTCATACGTGACATAAACAGTTTGTTTCCCCGTAAGTCTCGTATTTGCTATATCAAATTGCTCGTAGTAAATTTAACGTTCGACTTTTAACCAAAGAAAATGTAAACAACAAAATGTATTGTGAGGCACGAATACGGGAACACGCGCGCGCGCCCTCTTAATTGTAAATCACTGCCTGTGTCAATATGAAGGATTCTGACGACAGTATCATTCGGGACCACAGAAAATGCGAAATGGAGCGAAATAGAACGAAATGGAAAGAAACACAATATCATTCGCGAAATTGATTGAAATGGAGCGAAATAGAACGAAATGGAAAGAAACAAAATATGTAACATGTTACATATCTTGTTTTCTTTCGTTCCTTTTCGTCCATTTCACACTTTCTATACAGCGTATTATTCGTATATTCCATCCAGACCTTCCGCCCTACGCCGACCGCCTCACCTGACACAGAGGACGGACTGAACGACGCTGCTGAGGGCGGGGCATACAGGGAGCGGAGACAGGCCGACCTGACGCCGTCCTTCGGGGACGTGTACGTGCGGTGGGGGAGGGAGAACTGCGGTGAAAACGCCGATACTATCTACGACGGTAGGTGTTTAGGGACGCCTAACTTTTGATCTTTTTAACACTGTAATAAGACCTGTTCTGCTTATGTTTATGTATATTAAACCTCAGATTGTCAAACTGTACTCGTATTCTAGCACTGGAAATATATCTGACAAAGGAAACTACAATAACAGCGCCCGCATTACAAGTTACTCAGGTTTTGCTCTTGTCTTTAATTTCCTTAGGTGTTGTGGGAAGTGGATATCATCACCACCACGGGGGTGGAAGTGACTACCAGTGCCTGCCTCTGGAAGGAGTGGAGTGGCACAATCCAGTGTCCGGTAATCAGCACCAGAGCTACATGTACGGGACTGAGTACCAGGTCGGTGCTGGGTACTTCTCCACAGACAACATGGAGTCCATCACCAACCCTGGTAACTACGACGTCCCCTGCTCGGTGTGTCTCGTGTCCGGTCGGTCTGCACACGTCATGATCCCCGCCCGCCTGTCCTGTCCTCAGGGGTGGAGTAAGGAGTACAGCGGCTACCTCATGTCAGCAAAGCACAGCCACTACAACAACAAGAACTTCATCTGTGTGGACGGAGCTCCCAACCTCGTACCAGGATCGGCTGCTAACAATGATCAAGCCCTGCTGTACCTGGTGGAGGCGCAGTGTGGCTCTCTTCCCTGTGGGCCCTACATCAGCGGCTACGAGCTGACCTGTGTGGTCTGCACCAAGTGAATCCTTATTGGATTTAACTTGCGACAGTGTGTGTGGTTGTGTGGTTTGTGCTTTTTCGCGTGTGATGCAGTGAATCCAAGGGTTACATATCACGCAGTGACGTGACACTAACAATGACTTCGGTACTTTTAGTAGTCACGGTATTGCACATCCCAGATGTAAGATAGCATACTGTATACACACGCATTTGTACACCCTTTACTTCTGTGTTCAATGATTAAGGAATTAGCATAAGTTGGTTACACTTATAATTACAGTTTTCCTTGAGTGATGATGAGGTAATCTATTTTTAGATACCAATCAAATACCCTTCATTCTTTAAATTAACATGTTTAAGAACCCAACACACTTATCAAGGAGTAGGGGTGACTCGGTATGCTTGGCTGAATGTATGAGAAAAGTGGCATAACATTACTAACTACCTACAATGTATCATGCTTCATCCCAATTGAAGATGATTTTCAAAATTTTCAAAGCGTTTCTCTTTGAGTTACCTTAAATCTTCTTTTACATATTTGAATATTCGGATATATTTGAATAAAATTAGTATTCATGCTGATGTCATGGGCTGATTTATTAAATCTCTGAGATCATTCCTTGTTTGGAATCATTCTAAAGGTGGTAAACGAACATCTTGGCTTATCATACTAGTATATAAAAAAGTAATTGAAGATATCTCATAAATGCTGCACCTGTGACATGGTGCCGATGAAGCGCCGACTAGTGGTGGCTAAAGGTACTTCAGCTTCTCACTTCTATCACCATCACAAATCACCACGATTTTACATATCCCATGAGACATTGCGTTTCCAGTGCAAGTCCTAACCAACCAGAGAGCCAGAACATGAAGACTGAACCATTTAAGATCTTCGGGGTACCAAGAAATTCCATATAGAATGCACTTGTTATACACGTCTTTGAATGATGATAACATGTAATATCAATGTATGCAGTTCACTATAAACTTCACCTTCTAATACCAATAAAACTGCCACAGACCAGAAAGTTTTACTATAGTTTTCATCAGTGCCCCCACCCCTCGAAAAAAAGTGCTTAAGTCCATCGATTCTTTGCGTCTGGGCACTTGAACTTGACCACCTGTTGGATTGCGACATTTCCTTATTTCCTCCTACAAACCGAAGTTTGTACAGTCGGCGTCGTGGAAATGTCTTCGGAGAAACTTGTCATAGACCAAGGTGAGTTGTCAAAGAAGACCATTTTCTATGCCAAATCGTCTTACCCGTTTCGCTACGTCATAAAATAGCAACTTTTTTTCGGGAATGTCTTACTTTCTTCTGATACTGGTTGTGTTGTACAGTGCTGAAAAGAGAAACTTCACTGCGCTTTTCTTTATTTCTCTTTCAGGTTTCGTGCCTTCCCTGGCTGGTGTGGGCCTGACCAGGCCGTACAAGAGGCAGGGCGGGCGGCGGACGGGACTGGTGCTCCTGGCGGGAGGCTGTCTGGGCGGGGTGCTGGTGTGCGCCGTCCTCATGCCGCTGGTCTACGTCACCATGTCAGACCTGCAGCTGGAGGTGACCGAGCTCAAGAAACTCGTGGTAAGAAAGATTATAAAATTTTGGATTTCAAAGTGTAATTTTTTTCAAGATCAAACGGAGGGGGCCCGGGAAAGTTTGGTTCGTAGATTTGAACTTCATCTAAAACTTTGTTTACCACAAGTGCGCAGCAACTTTCCAGGTATTTCCGTAAGTTTATCCCGTTAATTGTTCCCCAAGTATAAAGGTCCAACCTTTCTCATGTTTCGAATTTACTGTGTCCACATCACACGGTAGTCGTATTACTTTACTACAACGTAACCAGGTCTCTACGTTCCGTATACCTCTCACATAACGCATTTACAGAGACGTACTAAACATATCGGTCTGAATCTTAAAATGATCTTCCCCCAAGAACAGGTGACGATACATAGCCGTTTATTTTACCGTGATTCTCATTTTTGCGATGTCCGAACTACTCAGAGGAGTGCAGTGATGTACGTTTCCTATCCAAAAGGAAATGTAAACAATAACAAAAAAGCGCTGCGCTGTGAGGCACGAAGATGGGAACACGCGCGCCCCCTCTTGTTTAAATCACTGCCTGTGTCAATGTGAAGGATTCTAAAGACAAGTATCATTAGGGGAGCCCAGAAAGTGCGAAATTGATCAATATAGAACGAAATGAGACGAAACAGAGCGAAATGGAAAGAACACAAAAGATGTAACAAAACATGTTACATATTTTTTTCGTTCCATTTCGCTCTTTCAACGGTACAGCGTATAATTTGTATCTTCCATCCAGACCTCCCGCCCTGCGCCGACCGCCTCACCTGCCACAGACGCTGCTGAGAGCGGGGCACACAGGGAGCGGAGACAGGCCGACCTGACGCCGACCTTCGGGGACGTGTACGTGCGGTGGGGGAGAGAGAAATGCGGTGAAAACGCCGAAACCATATACGCCGGTAAGCTCTTAAATGAGGACGCCTAACTTTTAATCTATTTGTTCTTAGGGACACCTAACTCAGATAAGACCTGCTCGTGTTAAAGTAAATTCGTCCTCTGCTCATATATTTTCAAACTGTACTCATATACTAGAAATACACCTGACAAAGGGAACCACAATAGCTTCCCCAGGTTTTGCTCACCCAGGTTTTGCTCTTGCCTTTAATTTCCTTAGGTGTTGTGGGAAGTGGACATCATAACCACTACGGGGGTGGGAGTGACCACCAGTGCCTGCCCCTGGAAGATGTGGAGTGGAACAACCCAAGGGCTGGTTATCAGCACAACAGCTACATGTACGGGACTGAGTACCATGTCAGTTCTGGATACTTCTCCACAGACAACATGGAGTCCATCACCAACCCTTACAACTACGACGTCCCCTGCTCGGTGTGTCTCGTGTCCGGTCGGTCTGCACACGTCATGATCCCCGCCCGCCTGTCCTGTCCTCAGGGGTGGAGTATGGAGTACAGCGGCTACCTGATGTCGGCACACCACTCTCACCAAAACAACATGAACTTCATCTGTGTGGACGGATCTCCCAACCTCGTACCAGGATCGGCTGCTAACCTAGATGGAGCCGTGCTGTACCTGGTAGAGGCGCAGTGTGGCTCTCTTCCCTGTGGGCCCTACATCAACGGCTACGAGCTGACCTGTGTGGTCTGCACCAAGTGAATCCGTATTGGATTTAACCGGCGACAGTGTGTTGTGTACACGTGTGTGTTTGTGCTTTTTCGTGTGATGCAGCAGTGAACCCAAGGGTTATATATCACGCAGTAACGTGACACTAACAATAACTTTATAATAGGTACTTAGTAGTGTATTGCATATCCCAGATTTAAGAAAGCTTTGTGTATACGCGTATTCGTACACCATTTACTTGTGTTCAATGATTCAGAAATTAGCTTCACAAGTTGCAGTTACACTTAACGTTTGCGTTGAGTGATGATGGGATAAACTACCGGTAGTTTTAAATACCAATCAAATACCCTCCATTCTTTAATTTTAGCATTTTAAGAACCCAACACACTTATCAAGAAGAGATAATAATTAAGTGACCCGGTGTGCTTCACCCCAATGGAGGTTGATTTTCAAGAGTTTCACCTCAAGTTTCCTTATATCTTCTTTTACATATTTGAGTATTCGGATATACTAGTATTTGAATAGTCAGTATTCATACTGTTTTCATGGGCTGACTTAATAGGCTTGAGATCATTTCCTTTTGAACTGCTATGGAAAATTTCTGAAGGTGGTAAACGAACATCTCAACTTATCATACCACTCGTAGTATATAAAACAGTAATTGAGGATATCTCAAAAATAGACACTTTATTCATGATACCTACAAACTAGTGCTAAAATTAATACCAAACACACTTTCTTTAGTAATAAACATATCTTTATTCATCCAACCCTTGCTTTTATATACATTTGTTTTTCTCCAGATGCAATTACTGTAGCTTTGTGGCTTACATGAAAAAGAAAACTTAGTCTATAATAATGACTAACTTAAAAAAAAACAAGGATATTTTCTCTTTTTTTCTTTATGCATTTTGGAGCAACATATCTATTTACAAATGTTGAAGTATAAAGCTACTTCTATGTCCTCTGGACGCCTTCATTGGGATATTTACAAGTTGTTTTGGAAAGAATGGTCACCTTTAAGAGGAAAGCGTGGTCTTCCTCACTAGCTCGATTCTTGCAAGCTCCACTATCATCAGAACATTTACGTTTGTTAACTGCGTAGAAAATTTTTTACAAGAAGTATTTACAGCATTGTAGAAGGGAGCACTGAAACGCAAGATATGCCAGATACCTTTTTTCTTTGAAACACTAGTGACAAAGCACATTTACATTGCTGCTCACTCTTTCTGCACATTTTTCTATTGACCCCGTCTGTAGAACATAACTTCAAACAGAAAACTGAAGCACAATATTGAACAGCAAAAACTTCAATTTCTTCAAACCTGCCTTGAAGAACTAGTTTTTTTTAAAGAAATATCAAATTAAAAAAACTAATTGTGGATTCAGAAGTAACTGCCCAAAGACATTTTTTCAACTTTGCCTTCAGCATATTTAGGTATTGCACAAGGCTAGAACTGGACTGCTCTGTATCCCTGCTAGCTAACATCCAGGCGATGCTACATTGTTGTAATTCGTTCACACTATAACCTTCTTCCAATCTTACTGGTCACTTTCTTAGTTACAACAAGGTAACTTTTCAAACTCGTTACAAGACACTTAAGATTTAGCCTTAAGTTGAGACAGCACTCGTGTGCTTACGCGTTACACACTTATCTACTTGCTGTTCTTTGACCCTTTTCTCTTCTTCCCCTTTGGGTTTGTGCGTGTTGCAGTCGAGGACACGGTAGAGTTGGTTGGAACCAGGAACACGTTCCCATCGCTTGTCTGCTGGAGGGAGAATTCGTCGGGAGAGTAGGGCTGCCCGTTGTCGTCGCGCAGCGAGCGGAACACCTCCTCGTAGAGCTTGTCGAACTTTTCCCGCATGGTGCGCAGGTTCTTGTCGATCATGCCCCGTTCTTTGATCAGCCGTTCTTTGTCTTCCATCAGTTGTTTGACATCGTCGTCTAGGGTGTAGATGGTGTCAATCTTCCTTTTTCTGCAGTTCTGCGCTGCTATCTGTACAAACAAAACCATGTTTTGCACGTTAATATAATAGTTAACTCATGCTAACACTAGGTAGTGGCAAGTTTTACAGAACAGTACAAATGATAACCACAAACACATTCTAGATACAATGTGTAAAATTGCAGGCAGTGAGTCAATGATTGTTACCTTATTTTTGCCCCGGCGGCGGATGTCTCGGATGAGTTGGAGCTGTGCGTCAGTCAGCGGATGTTGGGTCAGCATGTCGTTGAAGTCATCAACGGGAGTAAAGATGATCCTGTCGATGGAAAAGGGAACCTTCAGCTGCTTGGCCCGGCGCTCGTCTTTCGACCTCCTCCTCCCGCCCTTGCCGTTGTTGTCCGAGCCTCGCGGAGGGGTGCCGTTTCGGCGTGACGAGCCGCCCCGGCGCATGTGCTGCTTCTCGGAGCCGGGCGGGAGCGGGTAGGTGTGGTTGTGGTTGACGTGCTCCTTGGAGGCCTGGAAGGACGGTTGGTCACCGGGCTGGTTCCCTGAGTAGCTGTGGTTCCCGATGGCTTCCATCCCGCACGACTTGAAGACAGGCTGGTAACCGACGGCGCCTTCCTCTGCATCGCTCTCCTCGAACTGGACCCCAGGGACCTCCGTCCGAGACACGCCGGTGGCACCCAGCATGTCCATGTCACACTCGCTGCCGCCGTCACAGTTGGAGCTCATGTCGTAGGCCGAGCTGGACTCGTGCTCCGACATGGAGGACGTTTCGTTGTCATGAAGCGAGAGCCCGGAGTCGCTCCCGGCCTCGCTGATGTTGAAGTCCACGTCCATCAGGCTGCCGTCGTCCAGCATCCCTCCGGACAGCAGCTGGTCAAACTCGGACGGGTCCGTGTTCAGGAGAAGCTGTGTCATGTTGAGATCAAAGTTGTCCATGATGGGCATCTGGCTCAGGTTGTGGTCATCACCGGGCAGATCGGCCGCAGGAAGCAGGCCGTCGTCCAGCGTGGCGTTGATGGCGTTCACCAGGCTGACGTTGGTGTTGATGTTGGACACTGGGCTGGGCTGGCTTACTGTGTCTGAAGATCAACACAAGAACTAGTCAGTTTTCATTCTACACAACCAAATCAACCTATGTATTGGTGTTATCAATCTTCAATAGCAGGTTTTTTTTTTACCCTTTTCTACATACAGAACTTGGTTTCCATATATCTAACTTTGTTTCTGCAATTGTACATTTTTGTAGGACCTCCATCTAGTTCAAGTCGAAGGAGAGGGTATTACTATTAGTCTTACAGTGTCAGAGAGTGACAGTCTTTTGGTAGGCAGCTAAGAAGGGAGCAATCCATTTTCATGTTGGAGTCTCTCATAGGTTGGTATGGCTTTTTGAATGAAAACACTGTGCCATCTAAGGGTTAGATGTATTAAAGGTTAGTCCCTGTACCTTGTGTGTTGTGGCTGTAGCTGTACTGTTGTGGCAGACCCAACCCCAGTTCCTCAATACTGGCTAAATCCTGCAACGTCTGGTCCAAATCTGGGACCTGAAAACAACCATAAACAACATTCTTAGTCACATTCTGTTTATTCCACAACAAAACAATTCATACAACACCAATGACCATCGCATCATACTTATTGTGCTGACTTCAACACAGCAGCATCAAACTTGGAGACAAAAAACTCTAAGAGAAAAGCCTCACCGTAGCTGGAGGACTTGGAACCTGTGGTTGTTCTGACTCTGGTACCGGCATCATATTCTGTAGGTACTGCATGCACTGGTCCATCGTCATTATAGGATCAGTGGATGGCTGAAAACAAAACGAAATTTTGGTCACATATGGTTTGCAACATAAAGTTCTTCATAGAAGATTACATGACAGATGCACATTTTGCTACTACATGTACTACAGAAGCAAATCACCATTTCTCTCAGGAGAAAGTTCCATGCTGAAAGCTTCTTTCCTAGAACTACATCACTATGGAACAAGCTTCCTTGTGAATGCTTCCCAAATGGGTACAACCTTTAACTTTTCAAGTCTAAGGTCAACAAACATCTGTCTTTACAGTTCCCTAATGTAACATGTATGTGGTTCGTATGAGCCTTGTTTTAAGGTGAAAATTGAAGTATTGAAATCTCACCTGTTGCGGTGCCATCTCAGGCTGTCTGGGTGGCAGAGGGATGTGTTCTCCTGTCTCAGAGTCCACAAAGTAGTCCACTCCTTCCTGCCACTCCTGTGCCTTGCTGCACTCTTCCTTCTCCTTCTCCAGGGCCCGTTGTTTCTCCAGCTCCTGCTGGCGTAGCCCTGCATCGAACACTTCCAGCCCGGCACCCAGGTCAATGTCCTGCTGCCACAACACCTTGATAAGGTCCATGTCCTGAAAGACAAGAGAGAGCAGAGATTTAAATTCAATGTCATAGTCTATATCATTAGGCTTAACTTTATTGATGACATACTCTGAAGACCCCCAAAACTAGTGCACATGGGCGAACGAAAAAAAAAAAAATTCCAGGCAAAAAAATTCACAGCAATACTAGCTGGTATTGTGAATTTGCGGTAGCATATAGATACTTTTACGACAAGCCAGTATATGCTGGCCTTTGTTGTAGTACTTGTCTAATGATTTTATCTGGTGCACCCAAATATTCTTTTGTTCTTTAGGCTGAGTGAACCAATTCATCTGTTCTCAAAATTACCTTGTATTATTGTATCATTCCATTGGCAAATATTTGGTGGCATGGTTTTCTCACATATGTCTGTATAATGGATGAGTTGCTTGCATAATTGTCAGATTGCATAAACCCCACACCCTTCTCCTGTCAACAGCTGCTGTCAATCACCATGTGGGGATCAGTGGAACTTGGCCTGATTCCATGGGCGTTGGTCAATATAACCAGCACTCAGTCACGCAACCACAGAAAAGCTATTCTGTTGTTTGACTTGACTGTTTGCACATACAAGGTAGGTAGACAGGTTTGTTTAGTCCTGGCAATTATATATATATATAAAGTTGCGACAGGGAATTAAGTTGCACTGTGAACTGTCAATATGGCCCTAGGGGGCTGCCACACCTGTTGGTTGCTAGGCAACGGTCACATGACATTGACTCAGTTCCCATGAGGCCTTGCTTTCAGAACAGCTGCCCAAAATGATACATTTTAGAATCCTTGAGGAAGTAACAACACACTCAATTCCTCCCACACATTCCATTAGAGCTCACTACTACTTTCAGTTTTGTACACTTGATCCAAACAAAAGGAAATCCTACAGAAAGGACAGATTCACTACTTTGGATCCACAAATGACAAGACATAAAAGCTGAATCTGTTGGCTATTACCGTGCAGTATAATTTTTATGACACACTTAACACCAATTCACTTTTGGACCAATTATCACACCTTACTTTAACTGTAGTCCAGAAAATGGGGGCCACAGCAGACAAGAACTGAAGTGTCCCAGTTTTATCCGAGGCCACAGTGTTGATTTTATTTCAAGGTCTCTCTAAAACGGGGTTCATGGTAGACAAGAAATCTATCATCTGGAACTGTCCCAGTTTTATCCGAGGCCGGCAGTGTTGATTATATTTCAAGGTCTCTCTCTAATTTTAACCACTGTGACCTTTATATGAGATCACGAGCTAAAATCTTGCCATGCCAAGCCCAGAACATGCCATAAACAAGAGATGGTTCTTTCAAAACAAATAATCCTTTGTTGAGTAGACACACAACAACATGATTTACAGTTTTCGCAGTACTACATTTGACATTTCCAAGTACTAGTATACAGAATCCTGCATAGCATTTCCTGGCCACCTTTACCATGTGACTTGAAGCCAAGAAAGCAAACAATGGGCCCCAGCAACACAAAGGACACTGACCCTCCTATCCAAACAATGGATAACACATATTTCATCAGCAAAATATTTTGTTCTGGCTTTTTCTTCAGAATACTTTCATATGAACATATTTTTTTTTTTTATAAATCGGTGACCAAGGCTACCTCTTTTGTAAGGTCCCCAACTGGGGAGGGACCTGTGGCTCCTTCAACTTCGTCATTCGCGGGATGTCCTAGGTTTGGTTCTGCTCCTTGGGAAGTCGGTTCTTCAGCTGTTGCATGTGTCCCTTCCTCCGTCTGCAGTCCTCCTTCTAACAAAAGGGCCGTAATGTCCAACGGGAAAGCCTTGGAGCTGGGCTTGAGCTGGTGCAGCTCTTGGAGAATCTCTCGCTCCCTCTCATACCGATCATGGTGTGCCGATTTTAAATTCAGGTAACCGGTCAACAAATTCGGGTTGAACGGACTCGGGGATTGAGTCAGAGCAAGGTTTTGTCCCTGGATGATCTCGGTGAGACTGATTCCTTGGTTCTGTTGGTCTTGGCTGTTCAGATAAGAGTTTATGTCCGTCCCAAGCAAACTGAACAGAATGGCGAGCTGCACTAGTCCATCGTAGAAATGTTTCTTCACCATAATTTCGGAAAGGATGTTCAACGTCACCCGGATGAAAGCTCGGTAACTTCCTCGATCGGTCTTTTCTTTCTTCCTCTCAGCCCCCCTCGTTGAGTACAAAGACAAAGGCAGTGACACAGAACAAAGAACCCTTATCGAATTCTCTCGGCAACAACGTGCTCCAGTCTACTCCATTTTCGCCTGCTCAACCGGCACTAAAAAGAACTGCGCCACCGGCTTTTCCTCGCAAAATATGAGAGCTGTTTTTGTTTTCGTGGTGGAAGGTTCCAGTTCTTGAAATGATGACGGTCTGGTCAGGGCCGGTCTGTTTGTAGAAACTGACGTAATGCTGTAGTCAGGTCCGCCTTGCGGTTGGGTTGGGGCCCGGTGAGGTGTGGGGAGGAGGGAGGGGGGCAGTGGGAAACGTTACGGAAACCGCGCAACAGGCATGGCACCGAACGTAGCCCACACGACAACCGACATACACCCGCTAGAACGCTTCCTCTTGGTCCCTTCTCGTCCCAAACGATTCCCGGAGTCCCTGCGACCTTTTACACAAGCGTGGCGGCTGGTTTTAGCGGCAGTTTTTGTGAAAATTAGCCCCCATTCGGCACCTCAATGGGCCCAGCATGAGTCGGCAAAATCTCGCTGACAGATTTACCCACTGCGCATGCGATCATTGTAATTTGAGAGTCTCGTGACGTACATCCGGTTATGCAATGACCGAGCGGACGGAACTCTAGCGGACAGCTGTCAATCAAATTAGTAAAATACAGGCGTTTCTAGACGAGTGACAACTTCAAAACATAGACTATATCGATTATCACATCCTAAGCTACTTTGTCGACATCTCTGAACGAAAATAATGGCGCGGAACCGGGAAAGGACGGTCTGTTTTCATCGTACCACCCGGAGACATCACCACAAGCTGACGACAAAAACTACCACCACAAGTTCCTGAGAGGAACTGGGAAGCCGACATATCATCAGTAAATCGTCGATCTCAATCCTCAACAATGTATTACGATTTCTCGTCATATAGATCAAGAATTCCGTCCAGACAGAGCGGTGTAACAGTCCGGTTGGCGAAGTCGCAAACCCTGGGCCCTCACTCAGTCACTGAATTAAGTGCGGTTCCGCCCCCTTGCTTCTCCCACATACGTGGTACAAAACACTTGTATATGATGACACTATATACCAACACCTGAAGAAATATTTCTTTATACTCAACAGCAAGAATCAGCGTTGTTCTGATGAATGACAACAATTGAAATACGTACCTTGTTGGGCACAGGCATGTTTTGAGGATACTCTACTTCCATCATGGTGTTGTTGCTGTGTTTTCCCCTCGCTGCGTCCCTCACACGAAAGTCCTTAAAATTGGTACAGACACACTGTTGATCACCCCCTTAAGAAGTCTCAAGACAGTGCAAGGCTTACAGACGCCACACACAGTAAAACTTCAGCACACAGAACCCAGTGTCCCCCGAAAAGAGGATAAAAATTCCCCGCTTTCTCAAATCTCTTACCCCACTTCGTCGCCCCAGCCTAGTAGTAAGCTAGCGGAAGGCGTCCAAATAGTTCTAGTCATGTGATCAAATTGACCAATCAGCTGTGATAGAAATGTCGTCATTACCGGTGTAAATTTAGACTGTGGGTCATGTGACCAGTTTTGACCAATGAAAGTACTGATATGAAGTGACGTCTCAACTCTTTTGTCTACAGTCTAAAAAGCGGTCTAGAGCCGTCTAGAAGTTTATCGTGTCACTTTTACTTTCTGAACTCCCACATGTCTTGGAAACCTTTCTGTGGGGAACAACTTCTTCAAATTTACTCAACTTGAACTTGAACTCCTTATTCCTGTTTCGATATCTTTCTGATACCCAACAATCTGTACCTGATCGTAGACTGATGCAACTGTGAACTTTGGACTCAAACAAAAAGCCTCACGTGTATGGTCACGCGGGAAAACTTTGTTTTATTTCCAACGGCAGGGATGCCGTCTAAATATTGTCAAAGTTGACGATCTACTGTTTGAAATTGTGAGATTACAGATTTAGATAGCAAAGATATTAGACGATAGCTAGCGAACTGAATTCGTGAGACCTCGCATGTACAGAATGGAACATTCGCCTATCTATTAAAATCTTCTAACTCCATATATATATGATGATGATATGATCTAATAAAAAAGAGCAGAAATTGGTCAAATAGACAGATGAAAAAATTCCAGGGGAGTTGGTCCGCTGAAGAGTACAGTTTGCCGCTCCCCTGGCATGTTATCTGTCTATTTGATCAATTAAAATTTGTAATATTTTCAGTCGCTTCCGAAAGCCTGGTAGATGCTAAGGGAGATGTTGGAATGCAAAATCGTTACACTAGGTCCCCTGCTCTGTCACAACTTGGGCATCTAGTTTTCAATAGATCTAGTTATAGGGACTACAGGCAGTTTGTCACAGAAAATGTCATCTAGGAAACGTAACGGTATCGACTCCCAGCGTGCATCTGCTTGGAGATTACTTATTGGACTAGTAAACTCGCGATCGAGTGTCGAATGCATGGCCGTAGCCAGGATTTTGCTTGGGGACCCTTGAGAGGTTCTTCCCACTGTCTGAGGGACCGTCGAGCGCCGTAGGTAAGTTTTCTAGGGGGTCCGGGGGCATGCTCCGGAATATTTTTAAAATTGAACCTCCTGAAATGGCATTTCCTGCGTTTTGAGAGGATTTCAAAGGGAAAATCAGAGATAACTTTTTATTCAATATGACAAGGTGAGCAGTTTTTCTACGATTCTAACCCCACTGGTGATACAAATCAGTCAACCTTTTAAAGAAAAAAATTTTGACCTTAAGATTAAAAAAAAGTGGACTTTTGAGCCTTGTGGGGGTTCTTCCGAACCCCCTGGCTACGGGCATGGAATTATGGGGTATGCATGTACAATAAAGGGGATAAAGGTCTTCATTCATTGTAACTTAGGATGCTAACGAACAAGAAAAGTGCATGAATTACCAGTTTGTATCGGGCAGAAAAGCTCTCAGTTTAAAACTGTGTAGGTCGGGATAGCTTGCTATAGATTAGAAAGGCCTTAGAATGATTTAAACGGTTTTACTTAACTGGTGACATGAAAGCAATGCACAAAATAGTCTATCGCAAGAAGGTCGATCCATCCATGCCAAGAAAGTCACAAAGAAATTTTCTACATTGCAATTTTCCGATACTAATATTACGATAAGGCAAATAACTAGATTCTGATAGCCTCCTAGAGTCCTACACTAAATGTAGGTACGCTTTACACGTAGCGAATCCTCGTCAGAATACTCAGAAGGGATATACTGTGACATTGCGGCGAGATATAATAATATGTTACTCACCCTTTGTCGAGCGGTTATTGTACACCTCCACATTGCTAGTAACTCAGCCTTAGTCTCTACCAGACTATTTAATAGTACGCTGGCTGTATATAAGAGAATATATGCCAGGGGAGTTTGGCCGCCGCTTGGGGTTGGCCGCAAGACTGAGAACCTTCCGCGGACTGACTCCCCTGGCCAATTTTACTCTCCCTTTTTGCCGACTGCTACGATCCGTGTGCCAGTAGAAAGGCAGCTGGTGGAGGCTACAGCCTAGCCAGGGAGTACAGGAAGTCCTGCGGACGCAGTTCCTAGAAAAGTTGATGACCGACATCCCGGAGCTAAGGCTGTCGCCGTTTTGGCTGAATGTCAAACTATTCCGTGGGGCCCACTCAAGTTGCATGGTCCAACTCCTGTCTTATGTTCCCGCCAAGCAATTAGCTCAAGGCCACACCAAGTAAATTTTATGGATGACGTCCTTTGGAGACCCTAAATCTAATGCGAGAGGGCGAAAAAAAAAACAAGAAGGGCCCTAAAAAACAAGATGCCTAGAATAGAAATATACTAAAAGACGACAAATGTTAGGACACAAATTGAATGAGGTGACACAGTGCAACAAGCGAGAAGTCTTTTATCCATCATAAAAACAGCAATAAATCAGGTGGAACAGCAGTTGTCGTCCTGTCCTGTTTTCGCGTTACGGGTTTCACGTCAATCGGATGATTTGCGGCACTGTCGTGACTCTTTGGTCATAGTTACAGAAAGCGGAATTCCTTGTTTTTTTTTCTAGGAACAGGCCAAAATCAATGCGCGCGCGGACGTCATCCATAAAATTTACTTGGTGTGGCCCAATCTTCGATTACAAAGACATTGAAAGACACAAATGCAGAGAGAGAGGTCCACATGTAAAGTTAAAAGTCGAGCCCAACTATTGTGATTTATAAATAGAGAGCAAGAAAGAAACTTATATTCTTCACCTCGGAATGCAGCCTTTCCATCAGTTCATCATTTTAACCCTTATACAACCCCAAACGGCAACTTGGTGCCTATGTTCCTTACTTTGAAAATACAGTTTGTTGTTGCCCTAACATCTGCTTGGAGATAAGCTTTGCCCTGCAGTTGCGCAAAGCACCCTGGGTAAACCAGGCCACGTCGCAGAATCCAACATGGACGCCAGTTTTCCGGTCAGTTCTTTCTTATTTTACTAAATATGAGAAATAACTGCCAGTTTGCGTTATCAATTTTGATTATAAGTGTTAAACCGATGTTTGAGTAGCTATATATCGTGTTTTGTGTTACCATAGCACTTAGAAATGTCCTTTACGTTAGCCTAAATTGGGGAAGGTAACGATGATGTTAGCTCCCTCCCCCATATTTTGTGGTGAAATTATTATGTAAAAGTTATAGAAAAATATATTATTATGAGATTATATTACACAGTGGGAATGATTTCAACCCCTTTTTTATTTCAGGAACCGTCTCTGTACACCATTAAGGCAGTTGCCATCCTGGACAATGATGGCGAAAGGATAATTGCAAAGGTTGGATAAGATTAATAAATTATTATATTTTGAAGACTTATATGATACACTAAACATGAAAAAAGCATTTGTGTGCGTGAGTGTGAACAACGCAGCTCAAGAAGCTTTGGATAGATTTTCATTTGTAACATGCCGAGGCAATTGAAGAAGAATTGGGTTCAAAATCAAAGAAGAAGAATTGATTTCAAGGTAAATTATATTAGTACTCATACGAAAACTCAAAATGTTACCGCCTCAAGTAGTGTATTATAGAAAAATCGTCAACAACAGCACTGACGTATGCAAATTTTTGTTCCAGTACTTCGATGACACATTCCCAACGTCTAAGGAACAACGAGCATTTGAGAAGAACCTCTTCAACAAAACACACCGGGCAAATGGTAATTACTTGTCATTTTACAAAAGCTTACAAATTATTATTAAAGTTGTCAATATCTGCTGTTATTGTTCTGTTGTGAAACAACATATTATCATGGGGTATAGAATTTTCTTCTTACACAACCAGTAAGGTTCTCACTTGCTTACGTTTCGATGTCTATCAGACACCTTCCTCAGACTCAGAGCTTCTGACTGGAGTTCTGCAACCCGCCGCTATTTAACGCCAAAGTAGGTGGCGCTTTTGCGGCGAGAATGCAATTCCAAACATGGCTGAGCTTGTATCCCCCCTCGTCCCGGGAGAAGCTCTGAGGAAGGTGTCTGATAGACATCGAAACGTAAGCAAGTGAGAACCTTACTGGTTGTGTAAGAAGAAAATTCTATACCCTAAGTAAGTATCTTCCAACCTGATGAAATTATTTACGGAAACATATTATCATGATCATTCTTTTACAATTTTGTTGAATACTGAGTGTCATGTATTTATTATTTCAAAGCTGGTTTGCAAAGTTATGCAACGATTGGTCACAAAACACTTGCAAATGAATTTCTAGTATGATGAATCTGATGGCTTTGTTGTGTTTTTTTAATTGTACTTTTACTGTATGTTCATGTATTTTCATGGGGACATAATTTTATGGTAGAAGGGAGATGGAGGTTTTGCAGTGTTTTAACTTAAGGTGGCAGTGGAAACTATACTGTAATAGTATAGTATAGTAAGTACTAGTTATACATTAGAAACACAAATTTGTGGTGTCACGAATTCACTATTATGAAGTTACCACAAAAACTGCAAAAATGAAACCATCACAACCATTTTGTAAATAGATGAATACAAATATGCTGTCAGTGTTTCGTCTTATTTGTCACAAATGTTTCTTGTCTCCTTCCACACCCACAATAGCTGAAATCATCATGTTGGAAGGCATCACATGTGTCTACCGAAGTAATGTGGATCTTTTCTTCTACGTCATGGGCAGTTCTAATGAGAATGAGGTACAAACAGTCTGTTTGTTTTTTTGTTTGTTGCTGTTGTTTTCAAGAGTCAAAATATATCAGGTTGCGATCGCACATGCCAAATACTAGTGGACTGTTATTCAGAGTCTAGGTTGGAAATACCACCTGCATATGCAGGTTAGTGCAGGTAAAATTGGAGCTGTGCAGGTACAAATGTATTTCTGATGTCTACCTGGCACTGTCCTATGCACTGAGTTTATATATACATGTACATGCAAGTGTATATGGATTTTATAGCTGAATTGACTGTTATAACCTATGGAGTATAAGGCCACACCAAGTAAATTTTATGGATGACGTCCTTTGGAAACCCTAAATCTAATGCGAGAGGGCGAAAAAAAACTAGAAGGGCCCTAAAAAACAAGATGCCTAGATTAGAAATATACTAAGAGACGACAAATGTTAGGACACAAATTGAATGAGGTGACAGTGTAACAAGCAAGAAGTCTTTTATTCATCATCAAAACAACAATAAATCAGGGGGAATAGCAGTTATCGTCCTGTCCTGTTTTCGCGTTACGGGTTTCACGTCAATCTAACGGCGCTGTCGTGACTCTTTGGTCATAGTTACAGGAAGCGGAATTTCTTGTTTTTTTCTAGGAACAGGCCAAAATCAATGCGCGCGCGGACGTCATCCATAAAATTTACTTGGTGTGGCCTAAAAGAAATAAAACAATGGTTCCTGTGCAGTTTTTAGTATGATTCATACTTCCTAATTCTGAGTGGTGCATGTAAAATTTGACCGGTGCATGTTATTTTCAATGTTACCTGCAGAATAACAAATTGATATTGATTATGATTCCGAAATCTGAGTTTACTGTTTCTAACAATGTTTGACTTTGCCCATGTTTTCCAGTTGATCCTTGCCAGTGTGTTGAACTGTCTGTATGACTCCGTCTCACAAATGCTCAGGTTTGTAACCAACTCAAGTCGCAAGTTTTATCAACATTAACATTATGAGCACGTCGGCAGAACGTACTGCGCCTGCGCAGAACCCTGCAGTTTCACGTTTTTCGTTGGATGTTTGGTTAACGTTGCATTAGAATTTTGCCTGTTGCAGAGGATAACTTTTCCGACACAACATTTGGAAACTACAGACGGGATGGTAACCTTATATGTGCGAATACGACCTTATATGAGACGTTCAACCGAGGTGCTATGTACAATACATTAGGGGTTTCGCGCAGGTGTAATACGTTCTGCCGACGTGCTAACAGAATAATCTAATTACCATAGTGAAATTTGTACACTGTCACATTTGCACGATATAGTTTAATTTCCCACAATAAAGATGGTATTGAAGTGATTATATTATATTATATTATCTCTTACATTCACAATTGGCACAAAATTTCTGTAGCTTATGATGTAAAAAAAAAACGGTCTTACTTGCAATCATTATCTATTCGCTGAATAAAATGCTGAATATAATGCATGTTGCTTAATGTATCTTTTCTTCAAAAATTAAATTCTGTACTTGAAACTTCTTTCTCCAGGAAAAACGTGGAAAAGCGAGCCTTGATGGACAATCTGGATGGAGTGTTCCTGGCTGTGGATGAAATAGTTGATGGAGGGTGGGTGGTGACTGACTCATAATCATATTGAAACTGCATACAGCAGTGGTAGAAATACTTTTTTCAGTGTTCTGCAATATTGCAGAATGTCAAAATTTTTGTCTGCAGTTCAGAAATACTTTCTGCAAATACACACTTAAAAGTCCTGATCTAAACCCATGGCATATACAAAATCAGTCTACAAAATTGCAGGTTAATTAATTTTTCTTCTGCAATATTAAATATGTCACTGCAATATGCAGACTGCAGATGGGTATTTCTAACATTGATACATGTACTTTTTATTCCCTTCATACTCCACATCGAAAATGTCCTAATGTCCTTTTAGTTATGGTAAAGACTGTATGATGAATTGTAACATCTTAGGAACACTTGAATGCATGTACTAGTCTACCATTTTTATAAAGGTATGTTTTTGTCATGTTCTGTGTTATTCATCATTTTTAAGGTGTTCTTGATTTTTTTTAGCATTCTTTAGCAGTGTTCTTGATATTTCTAACTGTAGGATCATATTGGAAGCAGACCCCAATGCTGTTGTGCAAAGAGTAGCCCTTCGAGTAAGTATTTCAAACATTATTTCTAATTTTCATCCTTGTCTCATCATTATTATCATCAGTGAAATGAAAGTTTTAAGACATAGCCAAAGAAATGTACCAGTATCAATGTCATTGATGTTTTTTTTTTTGCACATAAATATTCTGAGCAAAAAAATAGGTTTAAAAAGTTTGTTTAACCCACAATTTAGGATGAGATCTTGGAGGATGACCCAATGAAGTTCATGCATTGATATCCATACCAATCATGGTAACATACACTTGTGTTGCACCTGGATGGCATAATGTGTGTGTTAAACTGTGTTATAGTTCAGCACTCAATGCATTGAGCACAGGTTGCATGTTGTTGCATTATGCATGTACTTAATATCTTCGAGCCCCATATCACTTTTAAAGTTTTTTTTTAAATAGAAGTCTGGGAGTGTATGGCCATGTTAACTCGTGTTACAAAGTTTGTTCCAAAACACAGCAGAGGTTATTTTTTCACTGTTGAAGTGATAGGAGATACTATAAAAAGTGTTAAGACGAAGTGGGTCGTAATTGACGTTAACACATGTTGTATCAGACTTACCCTATAACCCCAGAAACCTCTTCAGATTTATTCAGACATGTCTTGAGGGATTGCAGTCATTTCAGATGGTGATGCAAAGCCGACAAGCCTCTGGTGCCAACGGGAACCCATGAACACACTTAGAATAGTAGGGGTGACCAGTTTAAATGTCATCTGGAGCGAAAGCACATTGTACTATAAGCTACTTGACCAAGCATCATGGTTTACCTCAGTTGAGCATGACAAAAAGAACAATTTCTTCTTTTTGTCTTACTTTGTATTCGATTTTCAGACTGAAGACGTTCCCTTGACAGAGCAGACAGTGGCACAGGTATGTTGGGTCAAGTCCTGCAATATGTTAGAATAGTACATGTACCAGCATGTGGGGAGGGGGGCTGCCAGGTAAGAGGCTGTGTAAGGGGTCTACTAAGGGGGTGGTGACTCATTATGTGGAATACCCATTTGCTCCTTTTGCTGTATCCATTCCACTTTTATGTTTTAGCTTTCTTGTGCTCTTACTAATTTTAATTTAGGCAGAACCAAGCCATTTCATATTTCTATGACTAATAGAGTGGTACTGTAGATAACAGACAAAAATGTCTGTTATATTCAAATCCTCTACTATTTCTGTCGCCTTTGTTTTTGTATCCCTTCCAATGCATCTAAAATTACTTAGGCTTCAAGTACTCTCTGGCATATTTCATCCGACAGTGCACTTTTGAAACAAAATGGTCAGTTCTTCTTGTTTCAATCAGAATTGCTGTGCTCTTTTTTTCTGTTTAACTTTTTCGAACCTAATTTGCTGTCTTTTCGTAAGTTCAAATTTTCCAAACATACACGTAGTATAATTGTATGTTCTGTTGCATTTAGTTGTAACAATGCCTGCATTTAGTTGTAACAATGCCTACATTTAGTTGTAACAATGCCTACATTTAGTTGTGACGATACCTTGCTAGCGTGGCATTCACGAGTCACACTTCCTATAGCTTCTTAAATAGAGTATCATCATATTTTCTGAAGATATCTTTCGTTTCATCAGGTGAAAAAATTAATAAAGGACACAACACCTGGTTGGTTGAAAAAAGGAACTGTCAGGGAGGGTAACAGCCAATGAGAAGGTGGTTTACATTTTGAATTCAGCAATAGGCTTTCACCTGCTCTTTCATTGCACATGATTGGTCAGTCCTATACTGTAGAATAGACTTCAACACTTTGGTATTCTGCTTCTTACCAACAAGACTAGATGAAAACTTTGAAGTTAAGGTACATAATTTATAAAGGAGAACAGTGGAACTAGAAGTGTGCAAAGAATTTAAATTGATCGCTTTCATTCAACACTGCTGACACAGTTACAAACATGCTATCCAAAAATGTGGTTTTTGAACGTAAAATCTCCTTCTACCTTCTTCAGGGTTTGAATACGTTTGTGGTGTTTTGCCAGTAATGTCCCAAATGTGACACCCTTGAACTTTATTCTACATGTAGTTGCGGAAATGGTATTTAACCATTCTTGGCTATGTTGTAAAGTATATCTTATGATGAAGTGCTTTATCACTGTTGCTATTTGCACTCAAGCAGCTTCATAACATGACTTGAATAACCAATAAATAAGAGGTTTCATTTGTTTGATTCCTAGCTTTATATTACGTTTAAGGACCTACAGAAACAAATAAGAACAATTGGAGAAATAAGAACATTACAATGTGAAGTCCTTTACCAATGACTCATACACTGGAATTTTCCCTTTACCAAACGTACATGTACCATATGATATCCCTGTGTCCAACAAAAGTACTAACATTCTCACTAACACCCCCTTTTCACTCTTCTCCCTGTGTTGCTCGCTGAAAGCATGTAGACTGTATTTGTTATTTCTTCTGTACTAACCACATTAACTCTAGCTTCAAGTTGGTAGTGATGGAAAACTCATTTTACAACAAGTTAATACAAAAATTGTTACAGTTACTGTTAGCAGAGAATTAACTTGAAGGATTCAATTTTAGGCACTAGGTATCCTGTCTGGTATGCCAGTGACAATACCAGTGTGGTCAAAGGCATGCTCTGATTGGCCATGGCCAAGGCATGCTCTGATTGGCCATGGTCAAAGGCATGCACTGATTGGCCATGGTCAAAGGCATGCTCTGATTGGCCATGGTCAAAGCATGCTCTGATTGGCCATGGTCTCTGATTGGCCATGGTCAAAGGCATGCTCTGATTGGCCCTGGTCAAAGGCATGCTGTGATTGGCCATGGTCAAAGGCATGCTGTGATTGGCCATTGTCAATGGCATGTTCTGATTGGCCATGGTCAAAGGCATGTTCTGATTGGCCATTGTCAATGGCATGTTCTGATTGGCCATGGTCAAAGGCATGCTCTGATTGGCCATGGCAGATCTTTGGTATTCTTTGCCTGTTACTTAGTAACTGACTGAGGTTATAGTAGCTTTTACAGGCTGTGTGTTTACCATATTCCAATAAGAATGCTATGAGGAACATACACTGTACAGGCAATAGTGACTGGCTAAATCAAAGCTCTACATCTCTTGTTTCCATTTAAATATCTACACAGAACTCTGTGCATTCTAGATTTTGAAATTGCATTTTTTATGATGTAGTGAATGGTCAAAATCCACATTTCCTTAGGCTGGGAATTATTAGGGTAAATACAGTAAAAACAAGAAAAAAATTTAAACTAAAAGGTTGCGTAATGTAGACTCCTTAGTTTCTTGGTAATACATGTATGTTTAATGTTGTCTTTGATTCTGTTTTGTACACAAAAGCACCTTTTCAAGAAAACTTATAACTTCTGATTCAGCTCACTTAGCTTCATTTTTGCAACTAATACAATTATTTCTTCAAAACAACATGTTTCTAACGTATCTCTAACCATGTGACCAATAACCAATGAGAAAGCATGCCTGAGTAGCCATAATCATGTGACCAACAACCAATAAGAGCATGCCTCTGCCACAATAGTCATATGATCAGCAGTGTGATTGCCATGATCATGACTGGTTTTTCTTTCCTATCCAATCAGCAAATCACCCAAAAGCTGACGGTAAGTTTGGTACTGATTCTCTAACCCTGCTGTCGCGCAATCCTCCCTCTGCTAGTCGAAAAAGGGTTTAAGGTACAGAAGGTGCTAACTTTAGGCCACTCTATTTCAAACTCTTCATATCTAAAATAGATAAGTAAGTAAAGAAGATGCTTCACATGACAAGCTGGTAATGGCACAATCACATTTGTTGTAGGCTGTCATACAATTTTTATTTCAAGGGCTCAAAATACTTTTCTCTGCATGCCTACTCTGGTGCTGTGGACCTAAACCAACATTTAGGTTACAAACATGGTGATATACAACAGTAGTCATGGTTTAAGGGGTGCTTGCTGTTTTAAATGTTTTTGAAAGCTTGTCAGAAGTGTTCTTGTGAAATAAGACTTGACACTTCAACTCTGTGGCCAACTGCTGCCTAACCATTGTCTGTTGTAAGCTGGCTTTGAAACTGTGTTACCGGTATCAAACCATATTACAAAGCTTTTTGCATCCTTGTTGCCTTCTTATTCAGCCTGGCAATTTAACTCATACTATCAACACCAAACAAAGCTCACACCTAATTATAAACACCCAATACCTTTCCTGTAACATTTTACTGGTAACTAACATCTTTACTGACCAACTTTGTCTACTTACACTGGTAACCCTCCGTTTTCTAAGTCGGTCAACAAAAGATATTAGTAGCTTGGATTTCGGTGTGATATTATTTTGAAAAATGGTGACAAGGAGATAGATTTGTATGCGTAAGGATTGTTACGGTGTGTTCTTTCACAATGGGTGGAAGATAGTGATGCATACCGGTTCACTGGACTTGGATCCGGACTTGTAAGAATGTTTAGGTTCAAGCCCAAAAAAACCTAAAAGTCAAGAACCGAGTCTGGACTTATTACCATAAAAGACCATTTCACGTACCCCTTTTCTTTCCAAACCACCTAAAACCCTCCGTAGATTGCAAAATCTTTGCTGCAAAATGAAGAAAACATTGCCATCGGGCAATGTCAAGTACCGGCCTCCATGTTATGTGGCCAAAGTTTCACCCAGACAACATTGCAAGGTTGCCAACATGCAATTTTGCATATGCCATGGTTTTAGGTACCTAAACCTCTGGACTTGAATCCGGACCTGAACCTAAAATTGGGTTTAGGTATGCATCACTAGTGGAAGATGAAGGTGGCTTTTCTCTAGAGATATTTGCTTAAAATTGTATCTAAGGTGAAAGCCCCCCTCCCCAGGTTCCAAAATAAGATTCATACTACAGGTCTTTATATCGTAATGCGTTAACTTGGTGTCCTTGTTCTCTTTCATTCCTTTGCTGTCTCCTTTTAATTTGCTTATAACAGTTTTCTTGTGTTTCTGCTTCTTCTTCTAACATCGTTTTTCCTTGTTTTCGCTCCCTTGTCTGTCTGCCCGTTTCTTTCGTCCTTGTTTTTTCCTGCTAGTTGGCTGAAGACCTACCGGTTTCCATGTTGCAGGTTCTACAGTCCGCCAAGGAGCAGATCAAGTGGTCACTGCTCAAGTAGACGACAAAACAACAACAAAAACAACAACAAGTTTCAGATATTGGTCATGTATACAGTGGCAAGCAGTATAGTTAATAATAGTCCCTCCAACACCATGTGGTTTTAGGAGCAGTACCCATTTCTGTTTCTATAGGCATGATACACCAAAACTGTCAGTTACAGTCATTTTTTCATTGTAACATATTGTAATGTTTGAACCTTAATATCACATACTGCATGTACATCTTCATCAAACATTTTAGAAATTATCTTGTTGAACCTATGTTTATGAATAGATGCTTTTTGAGAGGTGGGAAGGTATTTTCCATGTTTCATTTTCCAAAAGTCAAAGAATGTGCACGATAGATGATTAAGTGTTTGCAAAGTTGTAACTGGAAAAAATGATGGGTTGCTCCTATATTAGATTGGTACCACATGTACATGAGAAATTGATATAAATGTTACATGTAATTACTTGATTGATGTTTCGTAGAATGAAGACCTTTTTCAAATCATGCACTACTGTATCTTGGAAAACTGAAGCCAAGTGCATAAAGCACTATCACTCAATATATTTTGACTGTAAATTAGCAAATCAAAAAAGGCATCCTTAAACGGCACTAAAATCTGTGGCCCCAAGAAGCCAACATTGATATACACTCAGTAGACCAGAAGAAAAGAATACTACATGTATTTAGGTGACACTCAATAAACAAGAGCCGAAAAATGTAATGCATTTGGTAAGTGGTGTCATCACTCTTTGTTATATGCAAGGATTATGGATAACATCCTCTAAAAAGATCCCCAAACTAATGTGTGCGCGCAGATGTCATCCATTGAATTAAGTCAGTGTGGCCTAATTCGTACAAAAGGAGAAAAGAGTAGCACTCCCAAAGATATGATGATACAAGGAAGATTTTCTTCATTTTTCTGAGGGAAAACCTGACATAGGGCCTGGAAGGTGTGGAGGGATGCCGTGTTCAGCACCAAGGACAGGACCAGGGTGTATGACACTCCACAGCTTGTCATTCATATTTAAGCAGATAGAGTGCAGCGCTGAAATGATGAACAACAGCAGCAAGATTTAAAAATGATACCTATGGCCACATCAATTGAATCAATTGGTTTCAGGAAATTGCCTCTTCATTTTTTTTCTGATTTGAAGGTTGATTTTAGGTTCTGAATCCAAAATGCTCATATTTTGGCCCCAACAGTTGAAGAAAGTTCTTGTCTTCTTTGTTGTTATTTTTTTTTCAATCTATCAATGCAGTGGTTTCATTAAAAGATCAAAATTCACTTAATGAATTATCACCCAGTGTAAATAGGTTGACCTGTATCGCAACATTTCCGGCCACTAGTATCAGGGTGCCTTGGCCTGTTTTTTTGTTGTTTTTGTTGTTTTTGTTTTTTTATTTTGCCCTGTTGCATCAAACTTATTCTGACTATGAAGCTTTTGTAGTAACTTCAATTAAAAAGTTTCCATATCTTAATACAATCTTTCATGTAGACAGAAACATAGAAGCCAATTGATTTTAACACTTAGGGTGTCAAAAGCACCTTCATTTTTATTGAACAAATATCATCATGACCGTAGAATACTGACTACTACAGTCTTGAACAATCTAATATACCATCATTCTGTAAAAAGTGGAAATACCAAAATCAAAATATCAAAAGCGATTCCACATAGTGAGAAATTCCTTCTGCATGTACAACATAAGAAGAGGCCTCAAAGCAAATTTGATATTAGGCCATGTTGATTTGATTATATGGATGACATCCTCCGAGAACCCCAAAACTGATGCGCGCGTGCGAATAAAAAAAAAGTTTTGCAAAAAAAAAAGTTGTTTTCATTATGAAATCTACGTGGTCATGAGGGTTGAACAAATGGGGCAGAATATGGTTTGGCGAATAATCTAGTCTTCAAGTTCATTTCTTTACAATTTCGTCTTTTTTTGTTTGATTTTGGCATCCGGCATTCTACGACATTGGTATAGTTTTTATTTATTATTTTTTTGTAACTTACGGTATATTTTTGCTCATTTTGCAACTGTTTCGTACGATTTACAGTATGGTTGAAAACTTTTTTTTTTTGGAAACGGCCGAAAATTCATGCGCGCGCGGATGTCATCCATATAATCAAATCAACATGGCCTTATACTGAAAAACATTCTGTTGTCAACATTCTTAACAAGGTATTACACATTGCCAATTGACCTCTTACCCTGTTTTTTGGCACATAACTTTACTGACACTAGAAATAGACCACAGTCACTGTTGGCTACTTTGTAATATACGTTTTGCTAAGTTGAAATATACATAGAGCCATTTACAAGGTTATTAACATTAATAAAGTTATGAACTTATGACGATGATTATAAATACGGTTTCCAATGCTCTCATCCTACCAAACTACTCTGGGTACGAGATGAGGACGGAGTACAAGGAATTAAGAAAAATCTTGCTACTTCTTTTTCTTCTTCTTCCCAGATTTCTTTCCCTTCTTCCCGGATTTTTTGCCCTTCTTTTTTCCAGATTTCTTGCCCTTTTTGCCCGATTTCTTGCCGGATTTGCCCCGTTTCTTGTCGCCTTCCCGAGGGTACTCGTGCCCAGGGACGTATTCTACCCGCTGGCCCTGGCAGTTGGGCTGGAACAAGAGAATACATTGTTTGAGAACATAATAATAATTTTTATTGCATATTCTTGCCCAGATGGACTAAATGCACATGCGACCATATGTAGCCTAGATGATTTAAAACATAGCATTGAACATTAAAACGCTACATTCTAACGCTAAGTACTAAAAGTCTATGTATTACAGAGATACTCTATATATTTATTATCTACTGTTCGTACATAACTACATAGTTTGTCCACTTTACGTTCGTTCATAACAAATAGTTCTACCGTAACAGAGCAATGATTTGGACGTTTCTTCACTTTGTATGATATACCTATAGTATGATCAGTGATGATTGGAATATCACGTATTGCCAATTTTTTTTATCTCTTCGAATCATTAAGTCTTTTTTGTTACCTCTGCCAGTGCTTGTTGTCTGTCTATGTTTCCCCTTACTTTGGCCAGCATAACCCAAGAAGCTATTGGTGATTGTGATACCATTTTTGGTATATGAGTAGGTCTTGGGAATACGAAAGTTAAGGTCTAGTTTGAGACCTCCTGACGTTCGTGGTCACCTGTTTGTGTTACTAGTAACTGACGCCCTCTGGCGACTTTTACCTGATTGCACATGCGGCATATGTCGGGTGCCTTCATCTCTCCTGGGAACTCTCCATGTAGACACTCCTTGCAATAACGGGTTCCGCAGTATCGACACATGTAGCTCTGAAGGGATGTAAAATAAATAAACAATTAATTAGACTAGTCAGAGCATCGTAGTTACATTCTGAAGCGCCATTCTATTTATTATGACGTCTTTTGTAATTTGCCACATTATACTTGCCTCGATTGGTCATAGACTCGTGCCCAATGAAATTCTACGTATCTTTGAAGACTCTAAATTTTCAATGTCACTCGCCACGATTGCCTGCAAGCGACACTGGTTCAGGAAATGCGACACCTGTCGGCGGGTCGTATTTCTGCACCTCCAGCTGTGTTCTGAATGCATGAGTGACCGCGCGTCGAGTCAGGTTGCCTGCTAGGTTTACCCTGTCCATACATCTGAAACGTCACTGTTTGTATGTTCACCTCACCTCTGTACTCAACATGTGGCCTGTTGCGACCTTGTACATATCTAAGTAAATACGAGGCGTTTAGACTTACACCGTAAGGTAGACAGCGCAGAAAATTAAGTTTTGAACGAAATTGATGCATTTCCTTTACTATTTCTTTACAAAATCAACTGTTTTAGTCGACCTTAGTTTACCACAACACAACTCAAGAGAAATACAAGCGAGAAACAAACTCTAGGTATTACCATGGTATTACTTCGAGGAACGATAAGAAATAGAGAACTTAATAACTTTAAAAAATTTGTATATTTTTCGTGCGCTAGAAAGAAAAAAAAATACCAAAGCTTTCAAGTTTAATCCTGTTTGATACATTGATATTGTAAGGCAATGTATGTTTAATAATTTACCACTGAATCTTTTTTGCTCATACCTGAATTTCATTTGATTTACATACGTACATCAAGGGGGTTAAAATCAATATACCGACAGGTCTAACATATCAACCTTCGTTTCACGCGTGCACTATTCGCATTTTACTTAGCAGCCGAGCGTAAAACATTAACAAGCTCTACACAACCGTGGAGTGGCTTTTAGCTGAATATGATACCTGTCAAACACGTAGAAAACTATACGTCCGGTTCAAAACACTTTTTTATTGCCCAGACTGTGTGGGAAATTCAATTAATTGTTCTTGCTTATAAACCTGCATTTCTGCACAAGTTCTCTAGTGTCACTGACGAAAGGTAGTGGATGCTACCTGAAACGTCTGACCGTTTCCAAAATAATATCCAGTTGCTCGAGTAACTTTTTTTTGGGCGTATCTCATTACCTGCATGTCTAACCTTCACCGATGTATGTAGGGAAATGGTTCTTTTTTGCATTTGGTAGTGAAGTTAAAGGTGATAAATATTATTAAAATAGTTGACTACGTTTTGGTTGCTTGACTATGTTTGTGGATCACTACCTCTAACTAGCTATAGCCTCCACCAGACCTTCCTAAGGGGGTACGGATCGTAGAATTCGGTAAAAAGGGAAATAAAGAATTGGCCTCCAGAGTCAAGGAAGCTGGAAGGATAATAACTGTGCCGGGAAATGAACTTTAGTGTGACTGAACTCCGTTGGCCAATTATTCTTTGTATTTGGCTAAATTCGACTGCTTTTCATGAGCCCACGTTGTTTTAGTTTGGTGAAGGCTAACTTCTAACTTGTGTACAAAAACGACTTGTTTAGTAAACGTTGTCTTGACCCACTTGCGACAAGCGTCCACCGTGTACTGTATCTAGTTAGTCGGTTCTGTATCTGGTGTTCGGGCTACTCAATTATGTCATAACAACCACAGTCGTGTATTCTTTAACACAGGTGTTAGGTTCTATTGTACAACAGCCGACAGTTTTCTCAGGCGAATTCCGGCTCGTCTTTAAGCAATTTATCCCGTTTTTCAATAGAAGAATTACCGCCCGAATGCCAACACGTACACGTACACGTAGAACATATAACAAGGTTCACGGCGTGTATTTGACGGATAGTTTTGTGTTTTGGACTTTTATTAGGTTGCTATTGCTGCTACTGTGTTTGTTCGAGGATTATACAAACATAGTGGCTTCAACGGGCTTGGTCTTAATCAAATACGGGGTTAGATCTCGTGAATATTGATGGAACCGTATGATAACGTCCTTGCCAAAGTACACGGCCTTTATACATGTACCACATTTAGAGCAAAGTATCATCCCGGATTCGATTTACTTTCGTCAGGAACCACGAATTTTGTAGAATGGTACGGCTCACAGTAAAAAGAAAATATTTTTCTTCCTTGCTGTCGTTCAAGCTATTATTTGTTTGTGGTAAATAGCTAATGATCATAGAAACATTTGTTCACTGTCGCTATCCACACATATTTCTGTGTACCTTTTCTCTGGAGGTGTTCTGAAAAGAAAGCATTGCGGCCAACTTATACAGCAATAAATACGCTATATTCTGCGTCAGGACTGCTTAAAACTTGTCTTCGTCTTAAAAGTACTGTCAGGGGAGAACATCTGGTTAAGTTCACAGAAAGGTGTCGAGGTGTTAAGGTCAAACAGAAAAATCGTTTAGATCAACACACAGAAGAACGAACCGCTCTGCTGTGGCACCAAACAGGACTGAGTTGTGATATGTCTGACCGTGAATTGACAGAGGGGCTCAAGTTTAAACATGAAGTACTAATTGCGCGGCCTTTGAATGAAACCTCTCGTATATAGCAGGTAGACCTAGGCTGAGGTGTTGAGTGTACATACCGTGTCCGTGGTAGTGCATCCCCATCTACACATCCTGGTTTGCGGCACCCTTCTCGGCAACGCCTGGCATAAACGTCTGGTTCACCGAAGGTCCTTAAAGTCTTGTTTTCCTTCCGATCCCGGCCTCACAGGTCACCGGATGGGGCCTGTTCTGCCTTAAGATGATACCTAGTGCTCAGCAGCGATGTTACTTGTTGAGAAATGCTGTACAAGACCAAGAAGGTTGATTTTAAACCTCCTTGACAAGACGTACGGGTGAGGGGAAAATCTTGCTGAGAGAGAGTACCTTTTCCTTGGTACAACGGTTCTAAGCGTAGCCTTCAGACGAAATGTCTTGGCCAAGGCATTCTGCTGAACGTTGTCAGTACGATCTGTGAGTGGCCGGGGGGCCTGCTCTCTCACCTTTCCGACGCCGGTGCCGTGTTGTGTGTGCCCGACCCCCTCCCGACTGACCCGCCATTCGGCGTCGCCTGAACCTTGTCCGTTACTAGGCAACGGCGCCGCGCGGTTTGTACAGGCATGACAGATCGCTGGTTGTTCAAACATGGCGGAGAATGGGGAGAGCGTTGTTCACTGAAACACCCACCTTTCGATAACCGGCTGGGACAACACCGCTAATGTATATCGATTATCAAACCCGGGGAATACAACTTTACCCTTTTAGTCACAACAGACCCCTTCTACGTTGCCATAAAGCGTTACCAACTTTTGTTAAGAGCACATATACTTTTATACTCACACAAGTTACATGTTGTCTTCTTAATGGTTTTTTGATAACCTCTGGTCAACCATTGCTGTATGGCTTCCTGGCAGAATTCAAATAGCAACAGCCGGATATCCACAGAATTTGGTGCATTCTTCAATATAGGCGAGTCTCCTAGTCAATATGTCCGTATATTGGCCTATTTGAGGGGTTTAAAATCATCTTTATTATATACAAGATTAAAGATTGCTTGGATAAAGTGTAGGTCAGCCATTTATCTCTTGATGCAGCACTAAGAGGAGGGCGCAAGGTTAGACAAATGAAGTTTACAAGTTACATGTGTAGCGGACATTTTGGTGTTTCAATGGAAAATTATTGCACATAAGTTGCAAGGACATTTCAGTTATTGTGTAAGAAAAGTTGTATTATAGAAAAACTTATGACCAGAAAATTGGCGTCGAGCCAAAAAGGCGGGTAGGAAGGGGATGAAATTTAAAGAAAACTTTAATAGTAGCCGAGGAAAAAAATCACACTATCCGGATTTTATTTAACAGCCTAACCTAAAATATTAGCAAGCTCTTCACAGATGTAAAGATTTTAGCTGAATACAATACTTGCTTTAATTTCTGCACATTCAATACCAATCGCGTCAAGCTACTGTAATGCTTCAAGTAGGATAGCTGCTCTTTTCAGCCAGTAGGAAGCGCCCTCTATATACAATCAGAATACTGCAGGTGGTTCTTTGAAGTTGCAATTTCAGAAGGATACGCCCGAATCTTCGACTGTGTTTCCGCAATAAAAGTCTGGGTATTTTTATCCAGTTTTACCCTTATTATTACCTACTGTAAATGTAAAGACAGTAACTGAAAAATGTTAAAGATATGTTTAACCTTATTTTATTTTAGCCATATGCTTTGCAACACCGGTCACCAACTGCTCTAGGTACATAAACGATTTGTAACATGATTCCTTTCTTTTACCATACACATAACCCTTATATCTCTTCTTAAGCTTTCCTCTATGAAATAATATCTCACAGTCGTAAATAGAATAACACGATATACATGTACTAAAACAGACAATAACTGCATATAACGTCCATTATTCCTAAAAATTAAATACCCCCCACATCATGTAATGAGGCCATCCTGATGCAGTATTATCCCATTGGACATACTGTACAGTCAATATACAAAGGGCTATTCCAAATCATTGGCGGGGGGTATTCAAAATTAAAAAAGATGTGTTATGTTGATAGGATATTAACGCAAGGCGATATCAAGTGAATGGTGAGAGACATTTTCATGATTAATTATTTTGTCCAACGGTTCAAATTGAACCCTGAAATCCGTATATCAAATTAAAGGTCTTTAACCAGTGTTCTTGAATTCCGTATCAAATGCAAAGTTAATTTACTATTCTTGTTAACATGTACAAAACAACCACCCCTGCGATATAATATACTTCTGATATCGATACCATATATATTGTGGCAATTCTTTTGACCTATGCATATCATTTTTTTTTGCATTTTGATATACATCTTGATATCCTGCTCCATCCATCCATAAATAAGATATTATCGGATATAATGCAGCTCCGTGTACAGTCTGATTCACATATATTGCTGATATGCAAAATGGATCTGAATATCGCAAAAAAATAATAAACATTGCCCAAAGAAACAAAGTATACAACACTTTTTCTAACTTATAACGTCTAAATTGTACAAGTTGAATACAATTTCTTTCGATTTTTCTCACATCTCAACTGTATTCTACCTGTGGGGACAATAAGTTCGATAATAAATATCCGTAAACAACATTTTCTCTGTGTTTCTAAAACATGCTAAATCGCCGGCCGCTGTAGTAGTTCTGGCGTTCTGCCTTGTCCGATTCAAACGCTTTCCTCTCGTTTTTGAGTGGGCTGAAGTTAGCCTTGAAGCGGGACCATTTCCGGGGCACGTATTTGGTGGCTCTGGTGACGGGAATATACGGCGCCGATCCATTCACGGCGGGGCCGGCAAGATCATCGCCGTTGGCTCGTTCGTCATCGTCGGCAAGTTTCGCGTGTTCGTCGGATATTTGTCGGATGTTCGTCTGATTTTCGTCGGATGTTCGTCGGATGTTCGGTACAGAAGCTTCGATTTCCGATTGCTTCATCTCGACTTCGCTGTCGCTGTCGCTTTCTGATTGGATGTTCATTTCCCTCAGATCGGCATCAATGTCGTCAAATGTCACCCTCCGGTTTCCCGCCAGGCCATAGACGCCATTTTGGGCGCCGCTTTCGGTGCCGTTTGTTGACTCGTGTTGGTCATCCGAGTCTTCAGAATTTATCTCGGAGACTTTCTCCAAATCGTACCGTTTGGCGGGAGTCTCATCCCAGGGGTGAACGCGTTGCTCGTTCTCCTCTTCTTGAGCTTTATTCCACGCTCTCAGAGAGTTTGTCAAGTCCCCGCTGATCCGTCTGCTGAAGTGTTTGATGTCCGCTCTCCTCTTGCTCATCCATTTCTTGGGATCACGCTTCTTTCGGTTCTCAGACGAGGACGATGAAGCCCCGTCCCGATCCCAGCTGACATCTGCTCCCGTCAAGGTCTTCTCGCCCTCGCTTCCCGTGGACGTTATCGTCGCGCTTGAACCCGTGCTGGTCATGCTGTATCTCTTGCGACTCCCGTCGTACTCATTCGTGTCTCCGACATCGCTGAATGTCATGGACCCATTCAGACTGGAGTCACCACTTGACTTCTTACGGCGAAGTGTGTCATTCCAAGCGCTCGGCTCCTTGTCGTCTGGTTCCGTGTTTACTACAGGCAAAAGACTCAGTGTGCTTTTGGCTTTCTTCATCAGATTCTTCACTTTGAATCTGGGTTTCTTGTTATTTCCTTTCTCATCTTTTCCATCGTCTCCTCCTTCTTCCTCATCTTCGTCCTCATTGTCTGACCCACTGTCCTCCAGCAAACTGCCCAAGCTGCTGCTGCTCAGCTTAGGCTCTATGGTCTTCTTCTCTTCAGTTGCTTCTTCGTGTTGAGCTTCCAAGACATCTTCAACAATTGGCGCTTCTTGTCTGTTCCAACTTAAGCTAAAGACCGAGAATCGCTTTTCCTTGCCATTTCCAGGTTTGCCAGCAGACACGGCGCGTTCTTTGTTCTTTCCTGTATTTAAGGACTCCATAGAGCGATGGAAGCTTGTCGCCGGTAGACTCAGTTTTCTCGTTCTGTTCTTTGCTTTTTTACCGCTTTGTGCCTGTTCGTCTTCTTCCGTATTTCGCCGAAAATCCTCAGCGCTGTAGTGTCTTTTCTTGGAGGATGGCAAAGTTGGGTCCGAACCTGTGTCCTTGACATCGGAGGTCTCGTCAAGAATGGTGTCCAAGGATCGCCTGCGTTCAAACTCGCGTCCTATATTGAAGATGTTGCCCATCAGACTCATCTTACGCTTGCGTGGAGGGACTTCTTCAGTGGGAGATTCTGCAGAAGCCCACGTGGGGATCACGGGGTCGTCACGTGTCTCAACGTCATCATCACGTGATTCCACGTCATCTTCACGTGATTCTGCTTTCTCCGGTGCCGTGCTATCTTCCCGTATCGGTTCCTGCTGACCATCTGTTGAAAAACTGAGATTGCCAATGAGTTCTTCCTCTTCGACAGTTCGTAGATCCGCCGGGACGAAGGAGATTTCCTTCCGCAGCATTTCTGGAACTTGCAGCGGCGATTGCTCTGCTATGGCCCCCGACAGGCGGTACCGCAAGTGCTGATGGGTAGTGACGATCTCCTGGCTGCTCCCAAAATCCACCAGGCTTTCTCCGAGCGTGACGAGCCCGTCATATCTTTCGGTTTGAGGTTCAGAATTCTGCTTCTCTTGGTGTATCTTAATCCACATCTCCATAGCGAACTGGTCGACTTGCCCAAGTAACTCTCCCTCTCTCTGTTTGACCATCATCGTCAAAACCTCCAGCGCTTTCTTCGCTTCTTCTTGGATTTCACTCTTAGTTTTTCTGACGCTGGCTTCCAGGTTGTCCTCCACGCGCCAGCGTCTGTTTCTGCACTTCTCGATCAGCTCTTTCACCTCTGCCTTGTAGCGTTCCGCCTTTTCCACCAGCCCCCACGTGTCGTGGTACAGGTGTTCCTCCCTCGTACACATGAAACAGGCCACGACGCGACAGTCTTCGCAGAACGCTAGCTCTGGCTCGCCGTGCCGTTTGCAGAGGTAATACTGCTCGGAATGCATCTCTATGAGGTGTAAGGGGGAGCAGTACTCGCACATGAACTCTTCACAGCTATGACAAACCCGCGTGGACGGCACGAGACACTGCAATGGATCGGAGATAGTTTTTGCCAGGTGGTGACAGTGGTGGCGTATTTCTGTCTCCAAATCGCAGTCAGAAATCTTGCTCCAAGTCTCTGAAAGGCGGGACAGCAGCCCTCCGGCTTTGTGCGTGAGTCCGCTGAGCCCCTCCTTGTGGGGAAGACGAGTTTTCACGTCACACACGGGACACTGGACGAAGTCGTTCGATTCAAGATGGCCGCTGATGCAGTGGAGACAGAAGTAGTGCCAGCAGTGGAGGATTCTGGGACGGTGGAGGGGCTGGTTGCAGAGTCTGCAGATCAGGAAGCGAAATTCCGTCAGCAGGTCGTCTGATGGTGACGTCATGTTCACCCCATCCTGGTCCCTGTCACCACCGGTCGCTGTAACAGAGTTAGAATACAGCGGTAACTATAAAGGCAACATACAGCCACACTCAAACCTGACTGGTAACTTACCACCTCTTATAAGGACACCTAGTCATTGTGGCCACGTCTTTGTGGTCCCTTAGATTGAACTAGAAAGGTAACATTTGCAAGGCAAATTCATAATGTTTACCTTCGCATATGGTCAGCTCTGTTAATTCTTACTCAAACTCATTCATATATATGGTGACAGAAGTCTAAATCCCTCCTGCTATGAAATTGCAACTTGATGTAACCCAACACTAGTAACCTTGGCAACAGACACAACATTGGTTCAGGTCAGAGGTCACTGTTTGGAGAAGAAGAAGAAGAAACTGAGCAAAAACAACATGTTTTCCTTTGGTAAACATAATGAAAGACCTCAAGTTGTTGTACATTTATACCCTTACAAAGTACGTACAGGTTATAGTGATAACGTTCTATGTGAAATAACAGGGATACAAGTCTGACATCTTAATTTATAGTATCCTAATATGTACAGGTTCAACTTCTCGCTTTTTAACACAGTTGTAGGTGCAAGAACACGCGGAGCTTATAATACATTGGTTTATCGAGTTGCATGGAATATGATTTTTTCTTTGTTATCTAACGTTAAATATCTCAATAAAACTAGGGAACATGTCTTGTATACATATAGTAAGTGATCTGTGAAAAGCGAAAACCTATCTTCTGTGACACCATCTCTGTTCTACTGCAAGGTAGATCTATTGTTAGAGTACAAAAACAATTGTCATATTCCCTCTAGATCTCCAAACATAATCTTTTATTCGTTACATGTTGTCTCCACCAGACTAACAATGTGGGTTAAAAAAAAGTGAAATTAAGCTAAATATGAGAAAGAGAGAGAGAGACAGCGAGAGAGTGAGAGAATATAGAAGTTCAGAAAAGTGCACGGCCTGTACCTGTGTGCATGAGTGCTTTACAAACACGCCCCTAAATCAATAAATGAAACTACAATACCTCCCAGCACATGTCAAACTCGCTACTTGTTCATTCCTTGCTCACTATTTTGGTCTGTACTGTTTTATGACTTTTTGTGTGGGTGTCAACATGTTTATTGTGCAAATATTTGCACAGGTAATATATAGCCATACGCGCAAAACAGTCGTAAAAAGACAGTATTTTTACTAAATGTGCGGAATGTTAATGGCCTGTGTAGATCAATCAGGAGCGCACATCATAAAATAACAAAACAAAGGGACACAAAACAAACAATATACCATCATCACCACACACATTGGAACAAAGGAATCAATAGATAAGATCTGATAGCAGAGATGCGATAGCCTTTGAACTGGCTGTTTGTTGTGGGTGGTCGTAGATTGGTATATGGTTGTTTAATTGTAAAACGTACATATGGATTTATCGAATCTTTCATCACTATACATTATTGCATTGGCAAATACACACAATTATGCGTGTTATTGTGCGCTGTAGGTCTTCATGTGTTTCTTGGATCATTGCCTCTCGCTTTCTTTCTATATATGTGTGTGTGTGTGTGTGTGTGTGTGTGTGTGTGTGTGTGTGTGTGTGTGTGTGTGTGTGTGTGTCTGTGTGTGTGTCTACAAGTGCGCGCGCGCGTGTGTATGTGTGTGTGTGTGTGTGTGTGGTGTGTGGTGTGGCGTGTGTGTGTGTGTGTGGTGTGGCGTATGTGTATGTGTGCGTGCATACGTGCGTTTAGGCACGAATACACAGAGTAATTGTAAAAGAGGATAAAGCTAAACCTAAGCATGAATGTTATTTTGCGAAACACGATAGTACGGGTCATGAGACTCTAAGTCATGGACAACACGTCTAGCACGACTATACCTGCAAACCCCGTCAAACTAAGGCCTCCCTTAAGCCAAGTACCCTAAAATAGACATAGAGTTTTAACGGTAGAAAGCCAACACCTGAGTCCTTTACATCTGAGGCGAGTGTTTCATGTGCGGAGGATGAAGTGGGGGATTAAGTATTTCCAGTATGTCTTTGATGTGGTTCAAAACTTTATTTACTGTACAGGTAGATTCTCGTAATCGATAGATCTCCAACTTGTCTTGTTTATACTCATTTTTTTATCCATTTTGTAATTATGTATGTATTTTGTCATTGTGTTGTACTCTCGTTTTATGTTTTTGAGAAGAAGGCGTTACATAAGCAATCTGTGCTTTTTGCCTAATAGTAGTACTCAATAAATATATGTGAATAAATAAAAAAAAAGGATTTCAAGCAATATCTAAAAAAGACGAGCGAAAAAAACCTTTAGTAGACTATGATAAGTGCGTCTATGTGTAGATGAGTTTCATTCAATGGATCATCGTAGCCTAAAAAGCACTCGTCAATTCGTAGAAGTTAAGTAAAAGCGGGGACATTTTATTTGTCTGACACAAGTGCAATATTTTGGCATTTCCCTCAACTTCCCTGTGTGTGAAAGAAAAAAAAAACAATAAAGAAAGGCCGGCCCGCCGAGATATTTCTTTTGCTATTAGTTCTTTATAAATATAAATCGGTAGCAGGGGGTGGGTAAGCAACAAGAACACCTCCAAGTTAAAATCACTGTGTCCTGGTAGCCACAAAGACCGTGAAGCACGTCAACTGAAAAACAGGTTAGGAAAAAGTGCTATCTGCACTTCATATGTGATCTACTGTGCCAGAAATACAGTGGGCTGGGAAACTCCCTCAGGACTGTTCGCAAGTGGTTAATAGTGCAATAAGTATTTAGGTGCAATATGCTAGCATGCCATTGTCTAACTGTATTATACTTGTTAGAATTTTTAAGCATTGTTGAGGTTTAAACTGTCTGACGCACACCAACTATAAGTTTACCTTGCGCCCCCTGGGTAATTAAACCCAGAGAAGGGGTCGTCCTAGGCATTTTTAACATATTCGTCTTGTGTAAGTTTGTCTCAAAATTGCAATAAAGATGATTTTAACCCCCTCTGCTATACTCATGTCCGTTGCCTTATGGAAGCCAGTGGTAAAATAACGTACACAGCTACAGAATTACAATAATGAGAGAAATTTACAATAATGAAAATAGCAAAAAAAATCATAACAACTCTTTTATACTTCACAAATATGTGAATCATCGATTTCTTGTTGTTGATACATTTTCTCGAACATGTATGCGCCATTTTAAAATTGATTATTCCCTATATAATGATAAGCGCCGATTGTTCAACTGATTTCAACAAATAAATTCCAGTACATTTTAAGAGGAGATAATCCATACAGTTACCAAATAGAGAAATACATTAAGGAATGTTTAAATCTTAGGAACCGCATGTTAAACATTTAATGTTGCCACTGACATATATTCTGTACGTAGTGTGCCGCACACACATATTCTGTAAATAAAATAACTTTATCCATACATGTATTCATGTAGCTTTGTTCGATCTTAGTTGTATATAGTAGACCATACGAAAGCCCCTGTACTTTTGTGGAGGTAATAAAGAATCTATGTAATAATTCCCAGTCAAATGCTTTTAGCTACTATTCCACGAAAAATATCAGAGTCTGGCCTTTAAACGACATTTGACTTCTCTCACAATTAATCCCTTTATTTAGATTAAGGCCACAGCAAGTAAATTTTATGGAGGGCATCCTCCGCAGACTCTAAATCTAACGCGAGCGGCCAAAAAAAACAAGGCGGGCCGAAAAAAAAAAACAATGTTCCTACATCTTAGAATTTTAAAATTTAACCATTGTACAAAATTTTTATTCAGTGGGAACATCACATATACACAGCCAGCAACACATATCACTGCATCAGAGTAAGAAACAAAACATTAAATCAGAGCCTTTTCTTGTCTCCTCTCTTCATAGTTATCTGCCATCCACCTTCCGGCATGGCAACAGACATCTCTGTCCATTTATGGCACGTTGACCACCGGCAGAAGGCAACAAAATTTCTTGCTTTTTTTTTTCAAAATCAGGCGAAAATTAATGCGCGCGCTAATGCCATCCATAAAAATTACTTGCTGTCGCCTAACACTGGCCTCCGGTGTTCTAGATTCGTCTTTGACCGACAGAGACATTCCACAAACAAAGAGCATCGCCTTGCACGCTTTCAGACAAATCTTTAGAAGCTCCTCGTACCATGAAAGATCAATATTTATACCCGAGTCGTCCGCGAACAACTGAGACGGAGTATTTGGCGAGACAAAATAACGGTAACCATAACAAGACCGGCTGGCCGCCCCCCTCCCCTTCTGTGTCACAAAATGTGAAATAGGAATATTTGGGGTGATTTTTGATATTCTATTATTTTCGCAAGTCATTATTATTTTAACTTTGAGAACTTTTCCACGTGTTGGAAAAGCTTAAGCGAAAATCCACCTTTTGTTTGTTTTACCACACTCATATTTTTTATTAAAAGAACGTTCGTAGGCAAATACGAGACTTGGTGGTTCAATGGGAGTAAATCAACAGGGTTCAGATCCATGTACCCTAAACACACACACACATATGGCGGAGAGAATACGACTTGTCGTAACCCGAGACTCTATTGTGTCGCAGTATGTTGGGCTTTTGATTGATTTACATTGTTCTGGGAACTAGCCTCTACCAGTCACCGCGTATAAAATAAAATAGTAGAAATTGGCCGAAATAAAGGGATAGTATACCAGAGAAGATCCCGGGCCATAGAAGATCCAATTCGCGACCCCAGCGATCCGCGGTGCCTGGTAGAGGCTAGTGGAAACAACCTTGCATCAAGCCTTTGTCACACATTCAGAACGTTCACCTTCCCCCGACCACCAACCAACCAATGTTGGTGGTAGTTTGGGAGCAGTCGGGCCATATTTAGGTCATGCTTGCCTTTCGATGGGAATCGAATTTGAGTTAAATTAGAGTCAAATTTGACTGCCAACCACGTTCCGACAGCTACTGACTAATACCCCCATCCTCCAGCCAACCAGTCCCCAACTTTGGCCCAACCTCTCGTGTTTCCCGCGAAGGTTTTGAAACATGCGGCTGGCGCAGCCGAACAGTAGCCAACCTCGCCACAATCTACTCCCAACCATAGTTCGGGAGGCCACGTGTGACAGGGGCTTAAGACAATCTTTATGAAGACGATCTAAAAATGAAGATCAATCGAAAGTCGCAGCTGGTATATCTAAAATTTCGTGGAACCTTCTCTGTGAAAACAAAAAAGCAAAACAGTATCCCGGCAGAGTATCATGACATTTAGAAAGGGTATTTGCACAAGATTTATTTTCACTGAGCCTATAGGGCGTCTTAACTGGTCCATAGGTTATGAGGGGGCACGATACCATTGGTATTAGGACATTTAACTATGGGTAGATGGGGGGAAAACTCTTATATAACTGCAGAAATAGGTAGAGACTACAGAACTGTCGCTAGAAAAGATAATGAAACCTACGATTAGCCCCACCTGGATTTTAATAGGGTATTACGGATTTACTTATATATGGAAACTTTATTTGCAAAATCATGCCCGAAGGCTAATTGCTTGTACAATCAAGTATAATACTCATTGCAATACAGTAACAGGAGGCAGGTAACAACTGTCTAGAAATATATATATATGCTGGGCCCTTTTTGCTTCGTAATCAGAATTTTATGATTAATTCGTTACATTAGATTTCTATTTTGTTACTTTGTAGTTGACCATAAAAAAGCACTAACTAGAAGAAAAGCTTCATTTTGGTACCAGAAGGTAGCAAGAATGTCTATAGTTCCACGTTGACTGAGTACTAGTATATCGGCCACGACTAGCCTATGTAACCCAAGCTCCGGGGGGCTCCCTACATAGTCCGCCGGCTGGATGTTGGGCGGCCGGCAAAAGCGATTTAATCAGGCTAGGCCACGACATAGTTACGTAAAGCTTGACCTCTGTGTATTTGTCTCCCGATAACATAGACATTTCATGATGTCCCTCAATTCGGTTCACTCAATCCTCGAATCTAAGGCGATAACTTGTGAGCTAGTTTTAACCGAAGAAAACAGCTAGGGTGTACATACAAAATTGCTTTCGCACTACACTTCGATATGCACAGGCCAGGTACTGACCCCTTGATTATGTCAGGTTAAGCCTTTTATTTTCAAGAAAATGAAGTCAAACCAAATAAGTAAGAATTTAGTGTTTAGTAGTTAGAGTGGTCACATACTATATTGTTACCCATCCTGTTGTCCATCTTTTATTTTCATGTTACATGTACTTGCAATTAGCCTACGGGCAGGGACTTGCAATAAACTTTTAAATTTTATTAGGGTGCGCTGAGATTTCAGACACTTACTGAGCACAGAGTACATAGTAACAAGATATGGTCGTTACATGTTGTTGCATGGTGATGCTACGTATGAGGTACCTTGTGTGGATAACGTTAGATGTTTATCAAAGTTGATACTACAAATGGGACCGTGAAA